TATTCTTTTAGGTTGATACATTTTTGCACACGGCTTATTTTGTAGGAAGTCGTCTGGTTTCTTCTCCACGTTTGAGCCATATGGTTCTTCTCCCACATTTGAATTTTGTGATCCTCAATTTTGAATTTTGAATGGGCTTATCCATTTCAATTAGTGGTTGTTTTCACTATTTTATATTGATATCATATGAAATAATTAGACGTATTTCCTATTTTCGAAGGCTTGAGGCTGATACGTTTAGAAGGTTTTATCGAGATTCTCCATGACGTCTACCTTGCTATCTGTGGTACATTATGATAAATACTTATACCTCATTTATACTGATTGTGATATATTGTTGTTTAGACATAAATGTGCGTAATGGGGTTTCAGATAATTGCTTTTTGTAGTTTTGTCGATTTTAATCTGGGTTCGAAAAGGGATTAGAATTGGTTATTTTGTTGTGGGTTTCAGATAACTAACTATTCAGATGCATTCTTTTTAGGTGCCAGGTACAATTGTTATGTTGAGTTTTAATGGAGCGGTGCTTGTGTACATGAGTTGGTTTAAGACTTGTTGTCCTGCCACTAATTCATTTTCCTCATTTTTATTCCTTCTCTTATTAATGCTCATTTATATTGATAAGATATAACACTGGAAGATGCAAGCTGAAGAAGTTGGGTTGAGTTTTTGAAGATTTGAAAGTTGCCTTACACATGTTCGATGAAATGCCCCAATAAGCATTGGTGCTGCGTGCATTTTGCTTGGGTGTGTAAGGCTTAAGAAAGTCATGTTTTACACCAATTTTTTAAAAAACAAACAAGAGAAAAATTAAGCAACTAATAAACTAATATATCTTCTTTGGTATAAATAAGTTGTTGTAGAATATGTTGTTTTTTGCTTTCTTCTCTGCTACTTTGCTAAATAGGAATTCCCTGATCCATTTAGTTTTTCAGTATTGATCGATATAATTTTACATTTTGCATTGGTAATCTCGTGTATAGCTCAGTTTTCCAATTTATGTTTTTATGTAGGACTTCATGGAAGGAGCTATTGTTGGGAGATGTACCTATGCTGATGGTTCCCTTGGCCCCTTGTGTAGGGTGAGTCCCCTTAGCTCCACGTGGTTGTGGTTATCGATGTGTGGATCACCCACTTGTGACCCACTAATTGGGTCCCACGTGAGAGTACGTGTTGAAATGTCTTACATTGACTGTATCAATGAGAAAATAAGAGTTTAAATATCCTAACCCCATTCCAACTAATATTGAGGCCCTTTGTGATAAAACCTCACACCTAACAGATTGTGTAGGTGGTAATTACCAAGTTAGGGATAATATCGGTATTGTTGGAAGTGAGCCGTACGGCCCGTACGGCCCGTTTCTCTGATAATTCTACATGGTACCAGAGCAGGTTTTAACCTGACTCTTCTTGAAAAACCCTAAACACTGTACATGCCCTAGTGTGACATCCCACATCACCCAGGGGAGTGATCCTTAAATGTATATTCGCATCCCTACCTAGCATAAGGCCTTTTGGGAGCTCATTGGTTTCGGATTTTGTAGGAACTCCGAAGTTAAGCGAGAAGGGGCCGAGCAATCCCATGATGGGTAACCCACTAGGAAGTTGCTCGTGAGTTCCCAAAAACAAAACTGTGAGGGAATGGTAAACCCAAAGCGGACAATATCGTGCTACGGTGGTGGAGTGGGCCCAGGAAGTGATTCGACCCGGGCCGGGATGTAACAATTGCTATCAGAGCCTAACCCTGGTCGCGTGTATGCCGACGAGGACGTCGGACCCCTACGGGGGTGGATTGTGACATCCCACATCATCCAGGGGAGTGATCCTTAAATGTATATTTCCATCCCTACCTAGCACGAGGCCTTTTGGGAGCTCACTGGCTTCGGGTTCCGTAGGAACTCCGAAGTTAAGCGAGAAGGGGGCTAGAGCAATCCCATGATGGGTGACCCACTTGGAAGTTGCTCGTGAGTTCCCAAAAACAAAACTGTAAGGGAATGGTAAGCCCAAAGCGGACAATATCGTGCTACGGTGGTGGAGCCGGCCCGGGAAGTGATCAGTCCGGGGCCGGGATGTGACACCTAGCCTTCGAAACTCTGGTTCTTCAAATCTTAAACCCAGAAATCAAATCTTATAGCATTTGGAAGCAACAAAGCTAGATTCGGTTAACCTGTTAGTGCAATGGCAGAAGGAAAAGCTGGCACCATAATCCATATGCAACCCGTCACTCTTCAGGCTGAGTCTATCAATATCAATGCCGTTCCATTCAGGTTTCGATTGAGCAACTCGAACTTCAAGGTTTGGTCCAAGATGATGGAAGTTCACGCTTCAGGTCTCAGGAAGCAAGGCTACTTAACGGGTAAAATCCCGGCTATTGATGAAGATGATCCAGGATATGTAAAGTGGTCAACTGAAGATGCCATCGTGCACGGGTGGTTGCTCAAAACCATGGAACCACACCTACTTGGGCTTTTTATAGACTTGCCCACGGCCAAAGATATGTGGGAGTGTCACCCAGGTGTTCTATGATGGTTCCGATGAGTCACAATATTATGAACTCCGGTGCAAGGCTACACAGACGAAACAAGACGGTCGTCCAGTCATTCTATATTTCACCAAACTAAAAGGGTTTGGCAGGACATAGACAACAGACGTCCTCTCTGTATGAAAATAAAAATCTTTTTGTGGGAAGTTATGACATACCTCCAACTTGAAAGCGGTTTCCCGAAAGTTTCTTTTACAAACTATTTTACAATAGAGTTGCTACAAACAAGGCTTACTAACTTCAACTTCTTCTGAGAGCGTGAAGGATTGTTAGCTCGGGGCGGGGCGCTTGTTTTTCGCAATGAAATACAACACATATTTATGCGAATCTCTCAGGCCATAGTGGTCCCAAAGAGGGAACTAAAAATATTCGTTTTTGAGATATTTTGGGAATAAATTCCCTTATCTCTTTATTTTACATACAGTTTTTCTTTGCGTGGGCGCGAACTAGTGAGTGAACGATTACTCTACATCGTCCATGGGATCAAGATTCGTTTGGCTGATGAGGACGACGTTTGAGCGGGAAAAATGTGGCAAAATCCAGTAATGAGGTCTTGGGCTAGAGCGTCATTGTGCTCCTTGGATTGAATCTCTGTACTTGACTGGTTGTGGATTGAGAATGAACCAACTGCTTAAGGTAGGCGTTCATGCGAGCTTGGACTCGGTCTTCGACTTCCTTGAGCATATTTTCTGTGAATGACGCTTCTGCTTGTAATGGCTCTGCATCTTCTTCTTGAATTCTTTTGGTTTTCAAGTCATCAACTTTCTTGGAGATTTCTGTTGTCTTGTGCTGAATGGCTTGCCTTTCTCTGAAAGTCTGCATTATCTTCTCATGCTATTTCCTCTCTTTCTCTAATCTTGCTGCTTCTTCTTCAATCTCCTTCATTTTCATTTTGTCGCTCTTCTCCGGCTTTTCTAGCTTTCTCTAAAAATTCTTCGCTCGTCTTCATCATCTCTTTGGTATTCTGCTGCTTTGACATCTTCATAAGTCTTATCTTCAAGATTAACTAATGGTGTTGAATCTGGTTGAACTTGCTTCATTGCTAAAGCAAGGCTGGATCCTGGTGCTGCTTTGGCATATTCTGATGGCTTGATCAAACTGCTGCTGCTTGGCTTAGCAAAATTGGTAGAAACCAAGCTGTGACATCTGGGGCCTTCTGTGATTTCTTGTGACTGACAGGGACGAATCCCAACTTGGTAAAACAAATACGATCCTTGGTAATAAATGCAGCTCCGTCATGTTGATAAATAAATCTAATTCCTATGACAAAATCAGCATCAATATTGAGCTTCTTAAAATCCCGTATCCAAGTATGTTGTGGAAGACCATATGGTTGACTCAATGTATCACAATTAGTTTTAAATTGAATTGTGGCTGGCATAAGTAAATGAGTACAAGTATATTTAGATGGTACTAATGATTTTTCTATAATACAATCTGTTGCTCCTGTATTGGAGAAAAACTTGTATGGGGCTTGGCTTGCCACTGGACTTCATTAAATGGCACTACAATCCACTTAAAACTCGCCACGTGGCAAGTCTTAAATATATTCTTTTATCATTCTTTTATATTTAAAATTTTTATAATTATTTTTTTAACTAATTAATATATTATATATATTAATGTTATGTTTCCTTTTTTATTTCTTTCCCCCTATTTATTTTCTTCCCAAATCCCCCCCACACTTTGTTTTGCCGTAGGTCTTAGGACTCCCTCCCCTTTCTTTCTTTCTCAGTTTTCTTTCTTTCTTTCTTTAAAAAAAAAAAAAAAAAAAAAAAAAGGAGAGGTTATGCACCCACTCCAAGTTTATCATGGAAAGCAACCATAAGTTTCTTTTCTTTCTTTATACAATAGTTGCTATGCACACTCCAAATTATCGAGTCAATTTTTTCATATTTGTTATCTTTCACTGTTTTGATCGTAGTAACTTTCTATTTTCAAGAAAGTACTTCTCTACCAAATATAATTAAGAACTATAGATAATACTATTTGAAATAAAACTTTGATCAAAACATTAGCTATCAAAAAACTTGATATCCCAGGTGAATGTGAAAGTTATTTTGACTAATTGTCAAGCAACCAAACTATATAAATAAAAAGAAAAAAAAAATCCCACATTGTCTCTTCAATTCATCCATCTTCAATCCATGAGCTCTATGTTTCCAGCATCTGCGCATTTTTCTAAGAATTCTTGAAGTTGAAGAGCTAAAGTTGTGTTATCCAAGATGTCTACTGCCAAGCACACAACCGATGACGTGTTGAAAAGAAATTTACATATTCTTAGTTGCTTTCCATGATAAAATTGGAGTGGGTGTAGAACTTTTTTTTAAAAAAAAGAGAAAGAAAGAAACGAAACTGGGAAAGAAAGAAAGGGGAGAGAGTACTAAAACCAAAACAAAGTTGTCCGGGGGGGGGGGATTTGGGAAGAAAAAAAACAGGGGGATAGAAATAAAAAAGGAAACATAACATTAATATATATAATATAATATATTAATTAGTTAAAAAAATAATTATAAAATTTTTAAATATAAAAGAATGATAAAAGATTATATTTAAGACTTGCTACATGGCGAGTTTTGAGTGGATTGTAGTGCCACTCAACGAAATCCAGTAGCAAGCCAAGCCCCACACAAGTTTTTCTCCCTGTATCGACTAAAGCTGTGAGTTGTATGAAATAATCATCAATTTTAATTCGTGCTCTTACTCCTGGGGAAATAATATCAACTGCCTGTATATCTTCTTGATATTTTTCACGAGCTTGAGCTTGTTCGTGTTCTGGTATATTTTCTAATTCTGGCATTTCATCCATTTCAAGTAAAAATACTCTGTCGCCAACTTCCTGTAGTTCTTGAGTTAATAAAGTAATTTTTCTTTCTAAAGTATTTAAGTCTATACCTTGTGGCCTGCCTCTGGGAATCCTTGAAATAAGCTGGGACCGTGATCACAGCTCTAGAAACAGACTTTCCAAGGTAAGCCTCAGCAGTTTCTTTCATCTTTGTCATAACAAAAGCTCCAATCTGGCCTGGAGCGTACTGCTGTCCATTGACTTCAACCCATGCTTCTCCATTTGGAGCTTTAACAATCTTGTATGGAACCATCTTCATTTCCTTTTGTGTTTGGGCATCGTTAAAGTGTCTCCCAATCAGACGCTTGGTTGCAGAAACTGTGTTCGTTGGGTTCGTCACAGCCTGACATTTTGCTGGAGTAGCAACAAGAAGTTCTCCTTTCTGGTTCATGGCAACTACTGATGGTGTGGTCCGAGCTCCTTCAGAGTTCTCGATAACCTTGGGATTCTGTGATAATCCACAATTAATCATCAAATACAAAAACACACAACCAAAAGAATACTTAAACAAAGAATGCAACCATCACAAATACGAGAACATAATGAAGGGTTACCTTGCCCTCCATCACAGCAACACATGGTGCTGAATCTGGTTGAACTTGCTTCAAGATTAATTAATTGCAGCTTTTCTTTGCATGAGCACTAAGATAACTAAAAAAAGCTTTTCTTCGCGTGGGCACTAAGATAACTAAAAATATTCGTTTTTGAGATATTTTGGGAATTAATTAATTGCAGCTTTTCTTTGCGTCATTGGGCTTCTAGGATTGAATTTGCTGAAGTTGACTGGCTGTGGATTGAGAATGAACCAACTGCTTAACCTTGAGCATATTTTCTATGAATGAGGCTTCTACTTGTAATGGGCCTTCAACTTTCTTGAAGACTTAAAAATATGTAATTATTGGGGTTCTTTGTTGTTGTAAGTTCTCAGATTTTGAGTGCCTAGTTTCTTTCGTACGCTGTCAGTAACTTCTTGTGCTAACTGCTTCGTATTTTCTGGTGCACAAAGGAAAGCAACTTGTCAGATAGCAATTGAAAAACAATAGGAACATGGGAAAAGTTTAAGAGAGCTTTGGGCTATAGGACAGAGAATTGGGCATATTGTATCAGTTAGGCTCCCCTCACACACCAACCACTTTCTTATAAAAGTTCTAGTAACATTAACATACTGAAATCTTGCTAGAGAAATATATCTGAAACAATAGTGTTTCAAGGTTTCTATTCTAGATAACACCATTGCATATACCCATTCTGCGGTAATTAATTCAATAAACTAATTGTTCTCTACAATTGGGGGGGAATTAATATGACAAGACAGTTCACAGAAGAAGAGCAAGAAATCATAGCATTCAAATGAGAAGACTAAATAACTTTAAATTTGAGAAGTTAATGTGAAAACTTTACCTGTGCTGCAGCGCTCCATAATTGCTGCTTCCCACCCAAATACCAAGATAGGCTGTACTCAAGAATGGAACGAAATGAATGTGAGCTTATATAGCCAATGAGACATTTTATAGCAACTCCAGCCAAGGAACGAACTTCATTATCTTGATCATTAGCCAAGCAAATCACCAAATGGACAAAAAAGGTCTGTGACTGCTCATCTACAACGTTTTGTGGAAAGTTAACAGTAATTGTGTGGAGCATCTCAAGCACAGTTTTCCTTCCACTTGAATGCTCATACCTGCAACAAGAGTCAAGCCATCATCAAAACACAAAAATAAGGAAAGACAGTCTTCCAAGTCACCATTGGGCACTCACCTCAGATTTGACAGCAGAAAATCCAAATGTTGTTGCAAACGTTTTGTAGAGAGACGATATTCAAGTAAGAATTGCAATAAAATCTTGCTACACTTGTGACGAATTGGTTCTACTTGACTTGTTACCATCAAATTTGCAACTCTTGTTACAAGATCATATATCTCAGGAACAACTAGCCTGCGATTAACAATTGCCTTTAGAAGTGAAAGAGCAACAAAGGAGGGATTGCTCTCAAGATCAACAAACAATGGAAGCTGAATTAGCAGATGTAGCTGATCGGAGGAAAGAGTGATTTTGGTGCCGCGCAGAAGTTCTGTTAACAACCTCAGGCATGACTACATTTGAGAACTTCCAGTTTTACCCGTACTTCCAGCAATACCAAACAGCGCGGCTTTAACTATCTGCCCGAGATTCAATGGCAGGTAAAGTGATGCAGATACAACATCTTCATACTTGGACTTCAAGCACTTCCCTAACAGTAAGACAAAAGGATCCAACATCAACAACATTTGTTCATCAGCTTTTCCCAATTTCACATTCTTTATGCATTTCAGCAATATCCCAAGAGCAAAAACTGAAATAAGATGAGAACATACTGATTTACCACCTGAGACACCCCCCGAGGAAATATCTTTTCCAGTCATAACATTTCGCCGACGTCCATTTACCCATGTAATAAACAAATTCTCACTCTGACCATTTTCTTCTTTTATTCCATCTTCAATCAAGCCTTGTACGAATATAAATAGGTATGTCTGGTCAAAAGTTGGATTGCATTCAATACCAGCACCTATGTGAGTTAACATACTTTCCAATTTTGTCTTGGTTTTTGGTGTCAAATGTTTCTCGAATTGAGCTGTAACAGGTGACAGAAGCTTCAACGCGCGGCTTTTGAATGTTATGCTTTGAGAAATCAATTTCAGGGTTTCAAAAGACTTCTGTTTCTTAGTTTCTTTCATCTTGGAAGCAATCTTTTCAACATCTTTTTCCTCAGCAACATCTCCAAGACCATCATTCTGTACAATACAAAGGAGATCTTCCAAACAGTAGTCCAATTTTCCACTAATTGGAGTAACAAGAAACTTCGACAAAATAAAGTTTAGTGTGTATCCCAGCACATGTAACTCATATCCCCGTTTCAAGGTAGCTCGCAAAACCTTGACTATAAAATGCAAGTATTCCAGCCCCAATTCCTTCAAACAAGCACCCAAAGCGGACCTAGCTTCATCTCCCAAGTACCAAGCATTAGTGAATACAATGGATGGAATCAAAATTCCAACTAAAGTGGAAGAAGCTTTGCAGGATCCTCGATGGACATAAGCAATGGAGGTTGAAATGAAAGCCTTACAAAAAAAAAAAAAAAAGGGAACTGGGAGCGTGGAGTCACTACCCCAAGGAAAAAAAACCAGTAAGGTGCAAATGAGTGTTCACCATCAAACACAAGGCAGATGGAACTATTGACAAATACAAGGCAAGACTGGTTGCTGAGGGGTACACACAGACTTTCGGAGCAGATTATCAGGAAACATTTTCTCCAATAGCAAAGATGAACACTATATAGGTTCTTTTGTCCTTAGCTGCTAATTTTGATTGGCCATTGAAACAATTTGAAGTAAAAAATGCTTTTCTACACGGAGACCTAGAAGAAAAAGTATACATGGAGCATCCGCCTGGGTATGAAGTACAGAATAGAACAGGTAAGGTGTGTAGACTACGAAAGGCTCTTTATGGACTCAAACACTCACCAAGGGCCTAGTTTAGAAGATTCAATAATGCGATGAAGGAATATGGTTATCAACAAAGAAATGCATATCACACTTTGTTTATCAAACACATGGGTGAAAAGATTACCTTGTTAATAATATATGTGGATGATATGGTAGTCACAAGTGATGATACATAAGAGATGGAGTGACTGCATGTGTATCTCTCTACGGAGTCTGAGATGAAAGATTTAGGAGGTTTGAAGTGCTTCTTGGGAATTGAAGTTGTTCGTTCCCGTGATGGTATTTACTTATCTCAGTGGAACTATGTTCTGGATCTTTTGTCTGAGACAGCGATGTTGGCATGTAAATCGACAAAAACACCTATAGTTCAAAATCATCATTTGGCGATATACCCGGACCAGATCCTAGCAAACAGGGAAAGATACCAAAGGTTAGTAGGAAGGTTGATTTACTTGTCTCTTAGGAGACCAAATATTGCATTTGCTGTTATTGTAGTAAGTCAGTTTATGCACTCTCCTAGTGAGGATCACATGGCTGCAGTAATGCGAATATTGAGTTATTTGAAAAGTTCTCCTGGAAAGGGATTGATTTTCAAGAAACATGGGCATTTGGAAGTCAAAGGGTACACTGATGTTGATTGGGCTGGGAATATTATTGATAGATGCTCTACATCAGGGTACTTTACATTTGTTGGAGGAAATCTTGTGACTTGGAGGAGCAAGAAACATAACGTAGTTGCTAGGTCAATACCAGAGGCAGAATACCGTGGTATGGCACATGGGATTTGTGAGTTATCATGGCTGAGGATTCTTACAGAGATCAGGTTCAAGCCACATGGAGCTATGCTATTGTATTCTGATAATCAAGATGCGCGGGAAATAGCTAATAATCTAGTTCACCATGATCATACCAAACATGTTGAAGTGGAAAGACATTTTATCAAAGAAAAGTTGGATGTTAAGTTGGTGGAAATTCCGTATGTAAGATCTGAAGACCAGTTGGCAAATGTGTTAACTCATACAGTGTCAGCAAGAGTGTTTCAGGACTCACTTGACAAGTTGGGTCTAGGAGATATCTACGCACCGACTTGAGGAGGAGTTTTGCGTGAGTCAACCTTGGAGAATAAGGAATGTACAGATATTTTGGGTATATTATTATGTAATTAGTATTCTTGTGTATTTAGATACTTTTTGTATGCAAAACGTACAATATTTGCCCAATGAAGAAATAATTCACTTAATAAAAGTCATATTCCATACCTATAGGCATTGGATAAGAAATAACAATTTAAAGGAACAGCGGTATTTAAAGTTTTAATGAATTTTGGCCAAAATTCACCAAACGCCACACGGCACCGAAAAGCTTAATTGAAAAGAAAACAATTACCAGAGGAATCTCAATTCAAGAAAACAATGAAATTAATTACTTTTATCATAAGGATTTTGAAAAAAAAAAAAAAGGTATTACGAATCCACATGATGATCAAAGACTAACCATATTACGCAACATTCAAAATGAATGGGAATTATATCTACAAACAGGAGATATCACTCAACTATATTCAGCTGTAAAAACTTTCGAATTTAAACAAATATATCTGCCTTAATCTTTCGTGATCATGCAAAATTTCTAACAGGCTAGTTTGATAATTATTCTGCTTAAATATGGTTTTTGAAGATTCTGTGGCTTCTGGACAATCTTCTGGCCTAATGAATGTCTCATAAAAATTTTATGTTCTTCTGTTTTCAAGATGTTTGGCTGATTCTGTTGCTAATTGAGGTGGATTAATGCTTCCTGTAGGTATTAAGGCTAATTCATTCATATTTCTTATTTATCCTATTCTGGAGAGTCTTTCTATTTCTTTCAGTATAGCTTGCATCTGAATCATTTGATTTTCAAATTGAGCTGAATGTTGTTCTATTTAAGGGTAAATTAGAATCCCATGCACTTTTCTAACAGTCTTTAGATCAAACATTGGTTCTATTTTGAAATTTGATTAAGACGCCTAAACAATAGCCATGTCAGCATTTTTATATTTATTTAGATTACATGTTATTATTCTGTATTTTTAGTTTAAAATGTTAATTATTAAATTCCATATATATCCTTTTAGGTCGATATATTTTTGTACGTGGCCTATTTTTGTAGGAAGTCGTATGGTTCCTTCTCCACATTTGAGCCATATGGTTCTTCTCACACGTTTGAATTCTGTGATCCTCAATTTTGAATTTTGAATGGACTTATCCATTTCAATTAGTGGTTGTTTTCACTATTTTATATTGATATCATGTGAGATAATTAGACGTATTCCCTATTTTCGGAGGCTTGAGGTTGATACGTTCAGAAGGTTTTATCGAGATTCTCTATAACGTCTACCAGCTATCTGTGGTACGTTATGATAAATACGTATACCTCATTTATAGTGATTGTGATATATTGTTGTTTAGACATAAATGTGCTTAATGGGGTTTCAGATAATTGTCATAAAGTTAATGCTTTTTGTAGTTTTGTCGTCTGGGTTCAAACGTCTGGGTTCGAAAAGGGATTAGAATTGGTTATTTTGTTGTGGGTTTCAGATAACTATTCAGATGCATTCTTTTTAGGTGCCAGGTACAATTGTTATGTTGAGTTTTAATGGAGCGGTGCTTCTGTACATGATTTGGTTTAAGACTTGCCATCCTACCACTAATTCATTTTCCTCATTTTTATTCCTTCTTTTATTAATGCTCATTTATATTGATAAGCATTGGTGCTGCGTGCATTTTGCTTGGATGTGTAAGGTTTAAAAAAGTCATGTTTTACACCAATTTTTTAAAAAACAAACGAGAGAAAAATTAAGCAACTAATAAACTAATATATCTTCTTTGGTATAAATAAGTTGTTGTAGAATATGTTGTTTTTTGCTTTCTTCTCTGCTACTTTGCTAAATAGGAATTCCCTGATCCATTTAGTTTTTCAGTATTGATTGATATAATTTTACATTTTGCATTGGTAATCTCGTGTATAGCTCAGTTTTCCAATTTATGTTTTTATGTAGGACTTCATGGAAGGAGCTATTGTTGGGAGACGTACCCATAATGATATTACTGCTTCTATTCCCATTTTTTAGCACACTTCATTTTCTGAATTGTGCAACCAAGTTAGCTCAAGGTTCAATGGTTTGGTAGTTGATTCATTTAACCTTACATATGCTATGAATGGATGCGCATGTTGTCTTTTGGAATGTGACATGGATGTGCGTGTATTGCACATGTCTGTAACGAAGGAGAACACATATTTTGTTGATATATTGGTGAGCTTAAAAGAATCAAATGAAATTGGCAATGCTAGTCAAGATATTTGTAATTACAGAACCATTTTTGGCTGAAGGTATAATGCACACTGATGGGAATGAGTTTTTGGGGAAATTTAAAACACCTAATGCTAAGACGTATTTATCGCATCCTTGGAAAAGCTATATTAGTCATGTTGGTCAGGATTATGAGGGTGGAGCGGATGAGTTCAGGCATAAACTATATGCAAGTATGCTGTTGAGATGGGTTTTGAATTTGAGTATGTGGCAAATGAGCATAAAAGGATAACAGCTTCTTGCATTAAGAAAGATATCGAAGGTTGTCCGTGGCGTGTTAAGGCATCTATATGCAGTGCTAATGGCCATTTTGTTAACCGAACATTAAATAATTAGCACACATGCACCGGTCGCATTTGAGAACGTAAAAGTGGGATGATGACCTCAAAGATTGTGTGTTCCATAATGGTTGAGCAAATTCAGTCCAATCCACACATTAAACCAATTCAGATAGTTGATGATTTCAAAAAGAATTATGGTTTGAATATTTCCTATTACAATGCATGGTACGGAAAAGAGATGGCAGACCAAGGGTTAAGAGGATTAAGTTTAATGGGGAAAGACAAATCAAATAATTGATACATTTGGATTAACACACCAACACTTCGCCAAACCCTTGTGTTTCAAAAATTTTAAAAATTTACGTACCTTGAATGATCTAATTTAATATTATATCATGAACCAAACAATTATTATGAGTCAGTGTAACATTAAGTAACGTACCAAACTCCTGGTACATTACAAACACACTGTATAATGTTTTTCCAGACAAATACATTTCAAAAATAAAAAAACTTTGCGTACCAAACGCCTGGAATGATCTAATTTAATATTATATCATGAACCAAACGATCATTATGAGTCAGTGTAACATTAAGTAACGTACCAAACTCCTGTTACATTACAAACACACTGTATAATGTAACATTAAGTCAGTGTAACATTAAGTAACATACCATGCTGAGACAAAGTTGATTTGTGGAAATTGTTTTTGGACTGTAGACTATGGTCGAAGTGAAATAGGGCTACTTTGAGGTGGTACTAAATTTCTGGAATTCATTGAACTGCTAGGCGACATTCGCCTTGCTCCTGCATTTCTTGGTGTAAAACCCTGCATCTGTTAGCAATTTTAAATAATGTGGCTGCATGGTCTTTCTAATTCCTATGACAAAATCAGCATCAATATTGAGCTTCTTAAAATCCCTTAACTGTCTCATAACTGTCTCATATCTGTCTCATAGCATTTTCTTATATCTTGGTCTGTCCTATATTTGGGTCTGCACTTGTTAACATTTCTGAAACTGCATTTACAAAATTGAGTGGGTCTGCACCCATTCCCATTAAATTTTGATATTTCTGCCTAGTATCTGGATGTACTTTATATGTTTCCCATAAACTTTTGACTGAGGGACCTAAATATCCTTCCATTATTCCAAAGCAATCTTCTCCTGTACCTTGTCCAAATTGTCGCTTCATTAAGTATGCTTGACATGCTTGATTTTTCCAACGATCTATGGTGTCTGTCCATAATTATCGATCGTGACTTGGTAAAAATAATATGGGTCTTAATTGAGTTTCTCCAATTCCTTGTTCTAATGGTATAACTCTATTAGAACCTTGAGGCTGATTATAGGCTACTCTAGTTCTAGGCATTTGGGTCTGGTCCTATGGTTCCATGTGTTCCTATGGTTCCTGAGCTTTCTAATTCTGGCATTTTATCCATTTTCTAATTCTGAATGGCTTGCCTTTCTCTGAAAGTCTGCATTATCTTCTCATGCTCTACATCGTCCATGGGATCAAGATTCGTTGATGAGTTTGGCTGATGAGGACGTTTGAGCGGGAAAAATGTGGCAAGAAGCTGACTGGCTGTGGCTTGAGAATGAACCAACTGCTTAAGGTAGGCGTCCATGCGAGCTTGGACTCGGTCTTCGACTTCCTTGAGCATATTTTCTGTGAATGAGGCTTCTGCTCGTAATGGCTCTGCATCTTCTTCTTGCATTCTTTTGGCTTTTAAGTCTTCAACTTTCTTGGAGACTTCTGTTGTCTTGTGCTGAATGGCTTGATAATCCACAATTAATCATCAAATACAAAAACACACAACCAAAAGAATACTTAAACAAAGAATGCAACCATCACAAATACGAGAACATAATGAAGGGTTACCTTGCCCTCCATCACAGCAACACATGAGTTAGTAGACTTTCTCCATTTGGAGCTTTAACAATCTTGTATGAGTTAGTAGACTTTCTCCATTTGGAGCTTAGCAACACATGAGTTGACTTCAACCCATGCTTCTCCATTTGGAGCTTTAACAATCTTGTATGGAACCATCTTCATTTCCTTTTGTGTTTGGGCAAAATTCTTCGCTCTTCTTCATCATCTCTTGGTATTCTGCTGCTTTGACATCTTCATAAGTCTTATCTTCAAGATTAACTAATGGTGCTGAATCTGGTTGAACTTGCTTCAAGATTAATTAATTGCACCTTTTCTTTGCGTGGGCACTAAGATAACTAAAAAAAGCTTTTCTTTGCGTGGGCACTAAGATAACTAAAAATATTCGTTTTTGAGATATTTTGGGAATTAATTAATTGCAGCTTTTCCATGCGCGGGCGCAAAGTAGTGAGTGAAGCTAGACGCTACATGATGTGACCAAGATTTGTTGATGAGTTTGGCTGATGAGGACGTTTGAGCGGGAAAAATGTGGCAAAATCTGGAAAGTCTGTAATGAGGTCTTGGGCTAGAGCGTCATTGGACTTCTTGGATTGAATTTGCTGAAGCTGACTGGCTGTTCAAAAACAAATCTCTCAGGCCATAGTGGTCCCAAAGAGAACTAAAAATATTCGTTTTTGAGATATTTTGGGAATTAATTAATTGCAGCTTTTCTTTGTGTGGGCACTAAGATAACTAAAAAAGCTTTTCTTTGCGTTGCGTGGGCACTAAGATAACTAAAAAAAGCTTTTCTTTGCGTGGGCATTAAGATAACTAAAAATATTCGTTTTTGAGATATTTTGGGAATTAATTAATTGCAACTTTTCTTTGCGTGAGCGCAAAGTAGTGAGTGAAGCTAGACGCTACATGATGTGACCAAGATTCGTTGATGAGTTTGGCTGATGAGGACGTTTGAGCGGGAAAAATGTGGCAAAATCTGGAAAGTCTGTAATGAGGTCTTGGGCTAAAGCATCATTGGGCTTCTTGGATTGAATTTGCTGAAGCTGACTAGCTGTGGATTGAGAATGAATCAATTGCTTAACCTTGAGCATATTTTCTGTGAATGAGGCTTCTGCTTTTAATGGGCCTTCAACTTTCTTGGAGACTGGAAAGTCTGTAATAAGGTCTTGGGCTAGAGCGTCAATGGGCTTCTTGGATTGAATTTGCTGAAGCTGACTGGTTGTGGATTGAGAATGAACCAACTGCTTAACCTTAAGCATATTTTCTATGAATGAGGCTTCTGCTTGTAATGGGGCTTCAACTTTCCTGGAGACTAAAAAATATGTAATTATTGGAGTTCTTTGTTGTTGTAACTTCTCAGATTTTGAGGGTTTTTTTTTAATTTTATCCAAGCTCAAACGTTTTTCGTCGTGTTTCAAATCCCTCTATCTAAACTCAAGGTAAGCAATGGGCGTTGAATTTAGTATTCTTATATTCTAAAGTTACTGAATTTGAATAACTGTTGACATTATGTCAATTCAATAGAATCTAGATGCAAACTAAAAGACTTATTTTAGCATATGGATTCACTTGCTTTGATTGATTTATGAATTATTTAGAAATGAGTGTGTTAAATTGTGGTTACAATTTCAAAACCCGCAACGAAGCGGAGCGCGGGTATTCTTACTAGTTTGTACAAAAACAAAAAGAACTATTTTATTTGTTACTATTCTTTTCCTTATTTTTTCATAAAATTAGATTTTTTTTTTTTTAAATAAATAATGATTTAATTCATAAATCACCTGACGCTATATTATTAGCCTTGCGACGGCACTTTTAGGGACTATTTGTAATAAAAAGTAAAAACTCAAAACTATAAATACTGCCAGTTCATCATGTCTCCTCATCTTAAAATGTTATTTACATCAAGTTCTGACTTGACAAAAAATAACGAGGGAAAAAGGAAACAAAAATAAGTGCCACCAAGCCTCTCAACATTTCTCATGAAATCTACCTTAAGCAAAACTGTTAATACCGTAACCGCCTAACCACCGAAGCCGACAGAGTCACCGGAGTTGGGGCCACCTACGTGCTCGTCCAAGAAGTGCATCGGTTTTTTGCAACATTTACTTTGGCTTCGAATGTGTCCACCTCCCCATTTTCATCGACATTATTTTCCTTTTCTTGTTGGCCCGATGCTTCTCTGCTATCCTCAGTTTCCTCTTAGCATTCCGCATGGGATCAACGACAGCCATGCGCTTTTCTTCGTTTTTCCTCTTATCCCTTTTCGCCTTGAGATTCTTCCTGATGTCACCGTAAACTAGTACAAACTTTTGGATGCCTAGTTTCTTTCGTATGCTGTCAGTAACTTCTTGTGCTAACTGCTTCGTATTTTCTGGTACACAAAGGAAAGCAACTTGTCAGATAGCAATTGAAAAACAATAGGAACATGGGATTCAGCCAATATGCCGTAAACGAAACTAACTTCAGGTTTCCATGACACTAAACCCCTCGAGGATTCGACCAGAAAACTACTTGAAACAATGGGGTAATTTGGTTTAGGTCACAGAATATTTTCAATGTTAAGATTGGGCCAATCAACATTTTGTGTTTTCCAAAGGTAAATGAAGATAAATTTTAGCAAGTGGTATAGGGGAAATGACCATCGCAGATATGACATGCAAAGAGCACGAGTGCAAGCTATTTACTGAGGCAACGGAGCCAATAGCTTTTGGGATATGCAGGAGCAACTTTCTACTCATATGCAACAAAACTGGGCATTGGGAAATAGCATGAGACAAAAAAACTCACCATGAATCACTCTCCCAGAAAATCCTTCGCAAACTTTATACAACGGCAGCAAGATTTCATAGGCATAAAGCCGGCAGTCTTCCTCACTTAAATAGGATGAAACTTTTTGAAAACTATCAAAGACAATTTTCATCTGCATAGAACAAATCACAATTACAATATAAAAAAATTGATGGGAACAGAAAACACAGGCGAATGACAATATTAACCTTAGTAATAGCTGTTGTAGAAAATATAGACAAATAAAAAATGCTTGGTATGCCTATGCTAATAAACATTCCCAAATGTCACCAAAAATTTTAGGAAATCAGTCCTTTTGTACAAACCTGAATCGCCTCCATTTGAAGGGCAGTCTTGCCCATTTTTTTGAGCAGGTTAGAGACGAGCAAGTATCGGATATTCTTAGAGGCGCTTTCATCATTTGGGTCGCATATACCAGAGGTAAGGGATAAAAACATGCTCCTTCCTTTTCTAGCATCGAGCAACTCAAAAGCTCGAAGAAAATGGGCTTGCTCATGCTGTTCAAGGTTGGACCAGAATTGATGTGGATCAGCACACTCTGTTTGTCCAATCAATGAATGCACATGACAAACACTGAATGCAAGATTTTCAGTAATCAGATTGCTGGCAGCATCATCATTGAGTTGTGTCTTCATTTGGCAGCAGAGAGACGCAGCTATCATGAAAAGTCTACTTGGTCTAATAAGATAGTAAATTCCTAATGGTTTTCCATCGTCTTTAGAGGCGGCTTTGGCAGCATCAAAGTACAAAGCTACAAGGCGACTGGAAATGCAGCGTAACCACATGTGTGGATGCAGAAGTATTTCACAAATTGCTGCCCATATATCCTAAATTTTTGCAAAAGAATGGACTTGTAAGAGAAAAAGATTACAACAACTTCAATGTCCAGAGAATAAGTTAAGATTTATCTACCATTAGCATCTTTTATGATAATTTACAATGAATGATAGTATGTTTGACAAACTTGAACCCTCCTGTTTCTGATTACCATAATATGAATTTGCATTTTGTTTGAGGAACTTTTGATAAACCATATTAGATACCACCAACATTAATCACATGGAATATGACAGAAAATTAACATTTTCATGGTAAAAAATATCCGTAGACATCAAAACCGTATTCTGAGATGGTTATATATGTATGAGAGATTATGTAGGATTTTATTTTTTCTTTCTTTCGAACTAACTAGATTCTTAGATTTCTAAGTGACACTGACAAGATCCACAGGCAGCATAGACAGTCCAAGATTTCTCCTACATCTAGAAACTAAAAGTAATAGGATTATGAATGCTCCCACTATAGAATCTCTTTCTAGAAATGAAACTTAAGTGAATCTTGCTTTCTTTATGTAAAGTCGAAAACATGGAAATGAAACTTATCAATTCACAGATCACCTTCCACCGCCCCCCTTTCTAACTAAAAAAGAAAACAAAAAATAACATGCAAGAACCTTGTGCAACAGTGTATCACATACAACTATACCATATGAAATATTTAGGGAAAAAAAAAATGAAATGTTTATGATGTTTGTCTAATAACATACCTCAAGATCCCTATCAAAGCATAAACTACGAAACTGATGCAGCATTTTCTCCAGCATAACTAACGAATAATATGCCTCCTTCCACAAAGGAATGCTAGTTTCATTAGAAAAGTCTAGTTGCTCATCAGTGACTCTATCAATGGCAGACAGTAAGATACTCTTAGTCGCTGCCAATATTCTGTTGATATGCTTAAGAAATTCTTTCTCCATGTCTTCAACTGGCAATAATTTATTGACATGCTTCTGAAATTCTTTATCCATGACTTCAACCAGAAGTCCCAAAACCTGCCAAATACACAAGGGCATTAAGCAAGAGCAATGCGGCACACCCCACCAAAAGTAGACTTACTAATATCAGGATTGGGAATACAACTATGACAATCTCCTCAACTATAGGATTATAACGTTTGACACTATAACATGAGATAGCACAGACAGATATAAGGACGATGCAGACCAAATTTTTGTACACAGTAACGAGTCCCTTACCTCAGCAAAACACATGCAGCTTCATACAAAACCTCAATCAAATTGACGGTCATTTCTACGTTCTTTTCTTACTCAACAAATTCCAGAAGGAAAAGTTTAAGCGAGCTTTGGGGTATAGGACAGAGAATTGGGCATATTGTATCAGTTAGGTTCCCCCCACACACCAACCACTTTCTTATAAAAGTTCTAGTAACATTAACATACTGAAATCTTGCTAGAGAAATATATCTGAAACAATAGTGTTTCAAGGTTTCTATTCTAGATAACACCATTGCATATACCTATTCTGCGGTAATTAATTCAATAAACTAATTGTTCTCTACAATTGGCGGGGAATTAATATGACAAGACAGTTCACAGAAGAAGAGCAAGAAATCATAGCATTCAAATGAGAAGACTAAATAACTTTAAATTTGAGAAGTTAATGTGAAAACTTTACCTGTGCTGCAGCGCTCCATAATTGCTGCTTCCCACCCAAATACCAAGATAGGCTGTACTCAAGAATGGAACGAAATGAATGTGAGCTTATATAGCCAATGAGACATTTTATAGCAACTCCAGCCAAGGAACGAACTTCATTATCTTGATCATTAGCCAAGCAAATCACCAAATGGACAAAAAAGGTCTGTGACTGCTCATCTACAACGTTTTGTGGAAATTTAACAATAATTGTGAGGAGCATCTCAAGCACAGTTTTCCTTCCACTTGAATGCTCATACCTGCAGCAAGAGTCAAGCCATCATCAAAACACAAAAATAAGGAAAGACAGTCTTCCAAGTCACTATTAGGCACTCACCTCAGATTTGACAGCAGAAAATCCAAATGTTGTTGCAAACGTTTTGTAGAGAGACGATATTCAAGTAAGAATTGCAATAAAATCTTGCTACACTTGTGACGAATTGGTTCTACTTGACTTGTTACCATCAAATTTGCAACTCTTGTTACAAGATCATATATCTCAGGAACAACTAGCCCGCGGTTAACAATTGCCTTTAGAAGTGAAAGAGCAACAAAGGAGGGATTGCTCTCAAGATCAACAAACAATGGAAGCTGAATTAGCAGATGTAGCTGATCGGAGGAAAGAGTGATTTTGGTGCCGCGCAGAAGTTCTGTTAACAACCTCAGGCATGACTACATTTGAGAACTTCCAGTATTACCCGTACTTCCAGCAATACCAAACAGCGCGGCTTTAACTATCTGCCTGAGATTCAATGGCAGGTAAAGGCAACCTGACCAGTCGGGTGAGGTATCTAAGTGATGCAGATACGACATCTTCATACTTGGATTTCAAGCACTTCCCTAACAGTATGACAAAAGGATCCAACATCAACAACATTTGTTCATCAGCTTTTCCCAATTTCACATTCTTTATGCATTTCAGCAATATCCCAAGAGCAAAAACTGAAATAAGATGAGAACATACTGATTTACCACCTGAGACACCCCCCGAGGAAATATCTTTTCCAGTCATAACATTTCGCCGACGTCCATTTACCCATGTAATAAACAAATTCTCACTCTGACCATTTTCTTCTTTTATTCCATCTTCAATCAAGCCATGTACGAATATAAATAGGTATGTCTGGTCAAAAGTTGGATTGCATTCAATACCAGCACCTATGTGAGTTAACATACTTTCCAATTTTGTCTTGGTTTTTGGTGTCAAATGTTTTTGGTGTCAAAGGTAGCTCGCAAAACCTTGACTATAAAATGCAAGTATTCCAGCCCCAATTCCTTCAAACAAGCACCCAAAGCGGACCTAGCTTCATCTCCCAAGTACCAAGCATTAGTGAATACAATGTATGGAATCAAAATTCCAACTAAAGTGGAAGAAGCTTTGCAGGATCCTCGATGGACATAAGCAATGGAGGTTGAAATGAAAGCCTTACAAAAAAAAAAAAAAAAAAAGGGACCTGGGAGCGTGGAGTCACTACCCCAAGGAAAAAAAACCAGTAAGGTGCAAATGAGTGTTCACCATCAAACACAAGGCAGATGGAACCATTGACAGATACAAGGCAAGACTGGTTGCTGAGGGGTACACACAGACTTTCGAAGCAGATTATTAGGAAACATTTTCTCCAGTAGCAAAGATGAACACTATACATGTTCTTTTGTCCTTAGCTGCTAATTTTGATTGGCCATTGAAACAATTTGAAGTAAAAAATGCTTTTCTACACGGAGACCTAGAAGAAAAAGTATACATGGAGCATCCACCTGGGTATGAAGTACAGAATAGAACAGGTAAGGTGTGTAGACTACGAAAGGCTCTTTATGGACTCAAACACTCACCAAGGGCCTAGTTTAGAAGATTCAATAATGCGATGAAGGAATATGGTTATCAACAAAGAAATGCATATCACACTTTGTTTATCAAACACATGGGTGAAAAGATTACCTTGTTAATAATATATGTGGATGATATGATAGTCACAGGTGATGATACATGAGAGATGGAGTGACTGCATGTGTATCTCTCTACGGAGTTTGAGATGAAAGATTTAGGAGGTTTGAAGTGCTTCTTGGGAATTGAAGTTGTTCGTTCCCGTGATGGTATTTACTTATCTCAGTGGAACTATGTTCTGGATCTTTTGTCTGAGACAGCGATGTTGGCATGTAAATCGACAAAAACACCTATAGTTCAAAATCATCATTTGGCGATATACCCGGACCAGATCCTAGCAAACAGGGAAAGATACCAAAGGTTGGTAGGAAGGTTGATTTACTTGTCTCTTAGGAGACCAGATATTGCATTTGCTGTTATTGTAGTAAGTCAGTTTATGCACTCTCCTAGTGAAGATCACATGGCTGCAGTAATGCGAATATTGAGTTATTTGAAAAGTGCTCCTGGAAAGGGATTGATTTTCAAGAAACATGGGCATTTGGAAGTCAAAGGGTATACTGATGCTGATTGGGCTGGGAATATTATTGATAGATGTTCTACATCAGGGTACTTTACATTTGTTGGAGGAAATCTTGTGAATTGGAGGAGCAAGAAACATAACGTAGTTGCTAGGTCAATACCAGAGGCAGAATACCGTGGTATGGCACATGTGATTTGTGAGTTATCATGGCTGAGGATTCTTACAGAGATCAGGTTCAAGCCACATGGAGCTATGCTATTGTATTGTGATAATCAGGATGCGCAGGAAATAGCTAATAATCTAGTTCACCATGATCATACCAAACATGTTGAAGTGGAGAGACATTTTATCAAAGAAAAGTTGGATGTTAAGTTGGTGGAAATTCCGTATGTAAGATCTGAAGACCAGTTGGCAAATGTGTTAACTCATACAGTGTCAGCAAGAGTGTTTCAGGACTCACTTGACAAGTTGGGTGTAGGAGATATCTACGCACCGACTTGAGGAGGAGTTTTGCGTGAGTCAACCTTGGAGAATAAGGAATGTACAGATATTTTGGGTATATTATTATGTAATTAGTATTCTTGTGTATTTAGATACTTTTTTTATGCAAAACGTACAATATTTGCCCAATGAAGAAATAATTCACTTAATAAAAGTCATATTCCATACCTATAGGCATTGGATAAGAAATAACAATTTAAAGGAACAGCGGTATTTAAAGTTTTAATGAATTTTGGCCAAAATTCACCAAACGCCACACGGCACCGAAAAGCTTAATTGAAAAGAAAACAATTACCAGAGGAATCTCAATTCAAGAAAACAATGAAATTAATTACTTTTATCGTATGGATTTTGAAAAAAAAAAAAAAAAAAAAAAAAAAGGGTATTACGAATCCACATGATGATCAAAGACTAATCATATTACGCAACATTCAAAATGAATGGGAATTATATCTACAAACAGGAGATATCACTCAACTATATTCAGCTGTAAAAACTTTCGAATTTAAACAAATATATCTGCCTTAATCTTTCGTGATCATGCAAAATTTCTAACAGGCTAGTTTGATAATTATTCTGCTTAAATATGGTTTTTGAAGATTCTGTGGCTTCTGGACAATCTTCTGGCCTAATGAATGTCTTATAAAAATTTGATGTTCTTCTGTTTTCAAGATGTTTGGCTGATTCTGTTGCTAATTGAGGTGGATTAATGCTTCCTGTAGGTATTAAGGCTAATTCATTCATATTTCTTATTTATCCTATTCTGGAGAGTCTTTCTATTTCTTTCAGTATAGCTTGCATCTGAATCATTTGATTTTCAAATTGAGCTGAATGTTGTTCTATTTAAGGGTAAATTAGAATCCCATGCACTTTTCTAACAGTCTTTAGATCAAACATTGGTTCTATTTTGAAATTTGATTAAGACGCCTAAACAATAGTCATGTCAGCATTTTTATATTTATTTAGATTACATGTCATTATTCTGTATTTTTAGTTTAAAATGTTAATTATTAAATTCCATATATATCCATTTAGGTTGATATATTTTTGTACGTGGCCTATTTTTGTAGGAAGTCGTATGGTTCCTTCTCCACGTTTGAGCCATATGGTTCTTCTCTCACGTTTGAATTTTGTGATCCTCAATTTTGAATTTTGAATGGACTTATCCATTTCAATTAGTGGTTGTTTTCACTATTTTATATTGATATCATGTGAAATAATTAGACGTATTCCCTATTTTCGGAGGCTTGAGGCTGATACGTTCAGAAGGTTTTATCGAGATTCTCTATAACGTCTACCTAGCTATCTGTGGTACGTTATGATAAATACGTATACCTCATTTATAGTGATTGTGATATATTGTTGTTTAGACATAAATGTGCTTAATGGGGTTTCAGAAAATTGTCATAAAGTTAATGCTTTTTGTAGTTTTGTCGTCTGGGTTCGAAAAGGGATTAGAATTGGTTATTTTGTTGTGGGTTTCAGATAACAATTCAGATGCATTCTTTTTAGGTGCCAGGTACAATTGTTATGTTGAGTTTTAATGGAGCGGTGCTTGCGTACGTGATTTGGTTTAAGACTTGCCGTCCTACCACTAATTCATTTTCCTCATTTTTATTCCTTCACTTATTAATGCTCATTTATATTGATAAGATATAACACTAGAGATGCACACTGAAGAAGTTGAGTTGAGTTTTTTAAGATTTGAAAGTTGCCTTACACATATTCGATGAAATGCCCCAATAAGCATTGGTGCTACGTGCATTTTGCTTGGGTGTGTAAGGCTTAAGAAAGTCATGTTTTACACCAATTTTTTAAAAAACAAACGAGAGAAAAATTAAGCAACTAATAAACTAATATATCTTCTTTGGTATAAATAAGTTGTTGTAGAATATGTTGTTTTTTGCTTTCTTCTCTGCTACTTTGCTAAATAGGAATTCCCTGATCTATTTAGTTTTTCAGTATTGATCGATATAATTTTACGTTTTGCATTGGTAATCTCGTGTAAAGCTCAGTTATCCAGTTTATGTTTTTATGTAGGACTTCATGGAAGGAGCTATTGCTGGGAGACGTACCCATAATGATATTACTGCTTCTATTCCCATTTTTTAGAACACTTCATTTTCTGAATTGTGCAACCAGGTTAGCTCAAGGTTCAATGGTTTGGTAGTTGATTCATTTAACCTTACATATGCTATGAATGGATGCGCATATTGTCTTTTGGAATGTGACATGGATGTGCGTGTATTGCACATGTTTGTAACGAAGGAGAACACATATTTTGTTGATATATTTCATGAACTAAACAATCAATATGAGTCTGTGTAACATTAAGTAACATACCAAGCTGAGACAAAGTTGATTTGTGGAAATTGTTTTTGGACTGGAGACTCTGGTCGAAGTGAAATAGGGCTACTTTGAGCTGGTACTAAATTTCTGGAATTCATTGAACTGCTAGGCGACATTCGCCTTTCTCCTGCATTTCTTGGTATAAAACCCTGCATCTGTTAGCAATTTTAAATAATGTGGCTGCATGGTCTTCAATTTTAAATCTAATTCCTATGACAAAATCAGCATCAATATTGAAATTCTTAAAATCCCTGAACTGTCTCATAACTGTCTCATATCTGTCTCATAGCATTTTCTTATATCTTGGTTTGTCCTATATTTGGGTCTGCACTTGTTAACATTTCTGAAACTGCATTTACAAAATTGAGTGGGTCTGCACCCATTCCCATTAAATTTTGATATTTCGGCCTAGTATCTGGATGTACTTTATATGTTTCCCATAAACTTTTGACTGAGGGACCTAAATATCCTTCCATTATTCTGAAGCAATCTTCTCCTGTACCTTGTCCAAATTGTCGCTTCATTAAATATGCTTGACATGCTTGATTTTTCCAACGATCTATGGTGTCTGTCCATAATTGTCGATCGTGACTTGGTAATAATAATATGGGTCTTAATTGAGTTTCTCCAATTCCTCGTTCTAATGGTATAACTCTATTAGAACCTTGAGGCTGATTATAGGCTACTCTAGCTCTAGGCATTTGGGTCTGGTCCAATGGTTCCTGAGCTTTCTAATTCTGGCATTTTATCCATTTTCTGATTCTGAATGGCTTGCATTTCTCTGACAGTCTGCATCACAGCAACACATGAGTTGACTTCAATGCTTCTCCATTTGGAGCTTTAACAATCTTGTATGGAACCGTCTTCATTTCCTTTTGTGTTTGGGCATCGTTAAAGTGTCTCCCAATCAAACGCTTGGTTCCAGAAACTGTGTTCGTTGGGTTCGTCACAGCCTGACGTTTTGTTGGAGTACCAACAAGAAGTTCTCCTTTCGGGTTCATGGCAACTACTGATGGTGTGGTCCGAGCTCCTTCAGAGTTCTCAATAACCTTGGGATTCTGTGATAATCCACAATTAATCATCAAATACAAAAACACACAACCAAAAGAATACTTAAACAAAGAATGCAACCATCACAAATACGAGAACATAATGAAGGGTTACCTTGCCCTCCGTCACAGCAACACATGAGTTGACTTCAACCCATGCTTCTCCATTTGGAGCTTTAACAATCTTGTATGGAACCATCTTCATTTCCTTTTGTGTTTGGGCATCGTTAAAGTGTCTCCCAATCAGACGCTTGGTTCCAGAAACTGTGTTCGTTGGCTTCGTCACAGCCTGGCGTTTTGCTGGAGTACCAACAAGAAGTTCTTTCTGGTTCATGGCAACTACTGATGGTGTGGTCCGAGCTCCTTCAGAGTTCTCGATAACCTTGGGATTCTGTGATAATCCACAATTATTCATCAAATACAAAAACACACAACCAAAGGAATACTTAAACAAAGAATGCAACCATCACAAATACGAGAACATAATGAAGGGTTACCTTGCCCTCCATCACAGCAACACATGAGTTGACTTCAAACATTATCCGGATATCTATATGATCCGATCGATTGCGTAAAGCCCGCGGTAGCAACGGAACCGGGGAAAGTATACAGAAAAGACAGTTCTTTTCTATTATATTAGCATTTTCATTAGTATTAGTTAGTGATCTCGGCTCAGTGAAACCGCTCATGCCCGGTAATGCAAGAGAAGCCATTGATAAGATACTGAAAGTCGTGAATATTTTTGGTCGAATCCTTCCGTCCCAGAACATACCTGACCCACGATCATTTTATTAATCTATAATAAAAAATAAAATATATATCTATATCATAATCTATATCAGAACGAAGGCGAACTGGCTTTGATGACAAGATGCTTCTGAATAGTCCTACAAGGCTGATAGACAGCAAGACTAAAGAAAAGAGGGGATATGTAAGAACCTAGGCTTGCCTTTCTCTGAAAGTCTGCATTATCTTCTCATGCTCTACTTCAACCCATGCTTCCCCATTTGGAGCTTTAACAATCTTGTATGGAACCATCTTCATTTCCTTTGTGTTTGGGCAAAATTCTTCGCTCTTCTTCATCTTCTCTTGGTATTCTGCTGCTTTGACATCTTCATAAGTCTTATCTTCAAGATTAACTAATGGTGCTGAATCTGGTTGAACTTGCTTCAAGATTAATTAATTGCAACTTTTCTTTGCGTGGGCACTAAGATAACTAAAAAAAGCTTTTCTTTGCGTGGGCACTAAGATAACTAAAAATATATGTTTTTGAGATATTTTGGGAATTAATTAATTGCAGCTTTTCTTTGTGTGGGCGCAAAGTAGTGAGTGAAGCTAGACGCTACATGATGTGACCAAGATTTGTTGATGAGTTTGGCTGATGAGGACGTTTGAGCGGGAAAAATGTGGCAAAATCTGGAAAGTCTGTAATGAGGTCTTGGGCTAGAGCGTCATTGGGCTTCTTGGATTGAATTTGCTGAATCTTCCTGGCTGTTCAAAAACGAATCTCTCAGGCCATAGTGGTCCCAAAAAGAAAACTAAAAATATTCGTTTTTGAGATATTTTGGGAATTAATTAATTGCAGCTTTTCTTTGCATGGGCACTAAGATAACTAAAAAAAGCTTTTCTTTGCGTTGCGTGGGCACTAAGGTAATTAAAAAAAGCTTTTCTTTGCATGGGCACTAAGATAACTAAAAATATTCGCTTTTGAGATATTTTGGGAATTAATTAATTGCAACTTTTCTTTGCATGGGCGCAAAGTAGTGAGTGAAGCTAGACGCTACATGATGTGACCAAGATTCGTTGATGAGTTTGGCTGATGAGGACGTTTGAGCGGGAAAAATGTGGCAAAATCTGGAAAGTCTGTAATGAGGTATTGGGCTAGAGCGTCATTGGGCTTCTTGGATTGAATTTGCTAAATCTGACTGGCTGTTCAAAAACGAATCTCTCAGACCATAGTGGTCCCAAAGAGAAAACTAAAAATATTCGTTTTTGAGATATTTTGGGAATTAATTAATTGCAGCTTTTCTTTGCATGGGCACTAAGAGAACTAAAAAAAGCTTTTCTTTGCGTGGGCACCAAGATAACTAAAAATATTCGTTTTTGAGATATTTTGGGAATTAATTAATTGCAGCTTTTCTTTGCGTGGGCACAAAGTAGTGAGTGAAGCTAGACACTACATGCTGTGACCAAGATTTGTTGATGAGTTTGGCTGATGAGGACGTTTGAGCGGGAAAAATGTGGCAAAATCTGGAAAGTCTGTAATGAGGTCTTGGGCTAGAGTGTCATTGGGCTTCTTGAATTGAATTTGCTGAATTCTGACTGGCTGCTCAAAAACGAATCTCTCAGGCCATATTGGTCCCAAAGAGAAAACTAAAAATATTCGTTTTTGAGATATTTTGGGAATTAATTAATTGCAGCTTTTCTTTACGTGGGCACTAAGATAACTAAAAAAAGCTTTTCTTTGCGTTGCGTGGGCACTAAGATAACTAAAAAAAGCTTTTCTTTGCATGGGCACTAAGATAACTAAAAATATTCGTTTTTGAGATATTTTGGGAATTAATTAATTGCAACTTTTCTTTGTGTGGGCGCAAAGTAGTGAGTGAAACTAGACGCTACATGATGTGACCAAGATTCATTGATGAGTTTGGCTGATGAGGACGTTTGAGCGGGAAAAATGTGGCAAAATCTGGAAAGTCTGTAATAAGGTCTTGGGCTAGAGCGTCATTGGGCTTCTTGGATTGAATTTACTGAATCTGACTGGCTGTTCAAAAACGAATATCTTAGGCCATAGTGGTCCCAAAGAGAAAACTAAAAATATTCATGTTTGAGATATTTTGGGAATTAATTAATTGCAGCTTTTCTTTGCGTGGGCGCAAAGTAGTGAGTGAAGCTAGACGCTACATGATGTGACCAAGATTTGTTGATGAGTTTGGCTGATGAGGACGTTTGAGCGGGAAAAATGTGGCAAAATCTGGAAAGTCTGTATTAAGGTCTTGGGCTAGAGCGTCATTGGGCTTCTTGAATTGAATTTGCTAAATTCTGACTGGCTGCTCAAAAACGAATCTCTTAGGCCATATTGGTCCCAAAGAGAAAACTAAAAATATTCGTTTTTGAGATATTTTGGGAATTAATTAATTGCAGCTTTTCTTTACGTGGGCACTAAGATAACTAAAAAAAGCTTTTCTTTGCATGGGCACTAAGATAACTAAAAATATTCGTTTTTGAGATATTTTGGGAATTAATTAATTGCAACTTTTCTTTGTGTGGGCGCAAAGTAGTGAGTGAAACTAGACGCTACATGATGTGACCAAGATTCATTGATGAGTTTGGCTGATGAGGACGTTTGAGCGGGAAAAATGTGGCAAAATCTGGAAAGTCTGTAATGAGGTCTTGGGCTAGAGCGTCATTGGGCTTCTTGGATTGAATTTGCTGAATCTGACTGGCTGTTCAAAAACGAATATCTCAGGCCATAGTGGTCCCAAAGAGAAAACTAAAAATATTCATTTTTGAGATATTTTGGGAATTAATTAATTGCAGCTTTTCTTTGCGTGGGCGCAAAGTAGTGAGTGAAGCTAGACGCTACATGATGTGACCAAGATTTTTTGATGAGTTTGGCTGATGAGGACGTTTGAGCGGGAAAAATGTGGCAAAATCTGGAAAGTCTGTAATGAGATCTTGGGCTAAAGCGTCATTGAGCTTCTTGGATTGAATTTGCTGAAGTTGACTGGCTGTGGATTGAGAATGAACCAACTGCTTAACCTTGAGCATATTTTCTGTGAATGAGGCTTATGCTTGTAAAGGGCCTTCAACTTTCTTGGAGACTGGAAAGTCTGTAATGAGGTTTTGGGCTAGAGCATCATTGGGCTTCTTGGATTGAATTTGCAAAAGCTGACTGGCTGTGGATTGAGAATGAACCAACTGCTTAACCTTGAGCATATTTTCTATGAATGAGGCTTCTGCTTGTAATGGGGCTTCAACTTTCTTGGAGACTTAAAAATATGTAATTATTGGAGTTCTTTGTTGTTGTAACTTCTCAGATTTTGAGGGTTTTTTTTTAATTTTATCCAGACTCAAACGTTGTTCGTCGTCTTTCAAATCCCTCTATACTCATGGTAAGCAATGGGCATTGAATTTAGTATTCTTATATTCTAAAGTTACTGAATTTGAATAACTGTTGACATTATGTCAATTCAATAGAATCTAGATGCAAACTAAAAGACTTATTTTAGCATATTGATTCACTTGCTTTGATTGATTTATGAATTTTTTAGAAATGAGTGTGTTAAATTGTGGTTACAATTTCAAAACCGCAACGAAGCAGAGCACGGATATTCTTACTTGTTCGTTCAAAAACAAAAATAACTATTTTATTTGTTACTATTCTTTTCCTAATTTTTTCATAAAATTAGATTTTTTTTTAAATAAATAATGATTTACTTCATAAATCACCTGACGTTATATTATTAGACTTGCGACGGCACTTTCAAGAACTATTTGTAATAAAAAGTAAAAACTGAAAACTATAAATACTGCCAGTTCATCATGTCTCCTCATCTTAAAATGTTATTTACATCAAGTTCTGACTTGACAAAAAATAACGAGGGAAAAAGGAAACAAAAATAAGTGCCACCAAGCCTCTCAACATTTCTCATGAAATCTACCTTAAGCAAAACTGTTAATACCGTAACCGCCTAACCACCGAAGCCGACAGAGTCACCGGAGTTGGGACCGCCTACGTGCTCGTCCAAGAAGTGCATCGGTTTTTTGCAACATTTACTTTGGCTTCGAATGTGTCCACCTCCCCATTTTCATCGACATTATTTTCCTTTTCTTGTTAGCCCGATGCTTCTCTGCTATCCTCAGTTTCCTCTTAGCATTCCGCATGGGATCAACGACAGCCAGGCGCTTTTCTTCGTTTTTCCTCTTATCCCTTTTCGCCTTGAGATTCTTCCTGATGTCACCGTAAACTAGTACAAACTTTTGGGTGCCTAGTTTCTTTCGTATGCTGTCAGTAACTTCTTGTGCTAACTGCTTCGTATTTTCTGGTACACAAAGGAAAGCAACTGGTCAGATAGCAATTGAAAAACAATAGGAACATGGGATTCAGCCAATATGCCGTAAACGAAACTAACTTCAGGTTTCCATGACACTAAACCCCTCGAGGATTCGACCAGAAAACTACTTGAAACAATGGGGTAATTTGGTTTAGGTCACAGAATATTTTCAATGTTAAGATTGGGCCAATCAACATTTTGTGTTTTCCAAAGGTAAATGAAGATAAATTTTAGCAAGTGGTATAGGGGAAATGACCATCGCAGATATGACATGCAAAGAGCACGAGTGCAAGCTATTTACTGAGGCAACGGAGCCAATAGCTTTTGGGATATGCAGGAGCAACTTTCTACTCATATGCAACAAAACTGGGCATTGGGAAATAGCATGAGACAAAAAAACTCACCATGAATCACTCTCCCAGAAAATCCTTCGCAAACTTTATACAACGGCAGCAAGATTTCATAGGCATAAAGCCGGCAGTCTTCCTCACTTAAATAGGATGAAACTTTTTGAAAACTATCAAAGACAATTTTCATCTGCATAGAACAAATCACAATTACAATATAAAAAAATTGATGGGAACAGAAAACACAGGCGAATGACAATATTAACCTTAGTAATAGCTGTTGTAGAAAATATAGACAAATAAAAAATGCTTGGTATGCCTATGCTAATAAACATTCCCAAATATCACCAAAAATTTTAGGAAATCAGTCCTTTTGTACAAACCTGAATCGCCTCCATTTGAAGGGCAGTCTTGCCCATTTTTTTGAGCAGGTTAGAGACGAGCAAGTATCGGATATTCTTAGAGGCGCTTTCATCATTTGGGTCGCATATACCAGAGGTAAGGGATAAAAACATGCTCCTTCCTTTTCTAGCATCGAGCAACTCAAAAGCTCGAAGAAAATGGGCTTGCTCATGCTGTTCAAGGTTGGACCAGAATTGATGTGGATCAGCACACTCTGTTTGTCCAATCAATGAATGCACATGACAAACACTGAACGCAAGATTTTCAGTAATCAGATTGCTGGCAGCATCATCATTGAGTTGTGTCTTCATTTGGCAGCAGAGAGACGCAGCTATCATGAAAAGTCTACTTGGTCTAATAAGATAGTAAATTCCTAATGGTTTTCCATCGTCTTTAGAGGCGGCTTTGGCAGCATCAAAGTACAAAGCTACAAGGCGACTGGAAATGCAGCGTAACCACATGTGTGGATGCAGAAGTAATTCACAAATTGCTGCCCATATATCCTAAATTTTTGAAAAAGAATGGACTTGTGAGAGAAAAAGATTACAACAACTTCAATGTCCAGAGAATAAGTTAAGATTTATCTACCATTAGCATCTTTTATGATAATTTACAATGAATGATAGTATGTTTGACAAACTTGAACCCTCCTGTTTCTGATTAC